TTCTTAATCTCCTCTAAATCCATTAAAAAAGGTTTGAGTTGGGAATTATGTAGACTTGTCGTGGTGTTACCATTAAATGAAATTATCTACATGTGCTACATTGTGCGTGCTTTTTAATAATTTCCCTATTCTCTCTAGTTTTGGGGTTGACTTGATTAATTCCCTCTCTCAAATCTTATTTAGAACAAATTTCAAAAAAACAAAGAAAACAAACATCAATCCACTCAATCTCTTACTAATTCTTCTGATGATTTGGGTAATACGGGTATTTTCATCTCTGCTTCCTTTTCCGCTCTTTCTTTTATTGTGTCTTGTCATTTCTACTTTTTTTGTCTGTCGTATTTACCGCTGAACAAGAGAGGAAAGGAATAATCCTAGAATAGAAACTTCTGTCACTGAAATTAATGAATTAAACGTAAATCTTTCTCCGGAACCAAAAGTAAGGACTGCTCTTTGGATAATCAATTTCGGGAAAGAAAAGGTATTGTGGGCTTCATAAGTAATAAAAGTTAAAAAAGTATTACCATGCGAGAAATAATAATTGTCAAAGACAATATTTCCAAAATAAAAACTTTTTTAGAGCAAGAGGGAGTAAGTTATGAAATTTACCAAAAAGCTCAGGGAGTAGACATTTTTGCTAACTATAGCAAAGCTATTAAAAATAAAGAACGAGAAAAAGAGTTAAAATTGTGGGATAATGTTGACCTTGACGAGGAGTTAAATAGTGATGATGAGTGGTGAAGTTAAGAAGGGCGAAGTCTATTTATACTGAATAGGAAAAAAGGAAGCTCGCGGGACAGAAATCAAGAAAATTAGACCAGGTGTGGTCATCTCTACTAACAACTTAAATAAGTGAAATTACCGTTTCATCATTGCTCCAATTACCAAAAGAACTGAGAAGTTTTTGGACTTTGAGGTACCAGTGGTGATTAATAACAAAGAAGGTTTGGCGATGTTGGATCAAATAAAAACAGTGGATAAATCAAGGTTGATTAGAAAATTAGGAAAGCTGACTGAGATGGAAATGTTAGCAATTAGAGAAAAACTAGATCTGGTTTTTGATTAAAATCTCCCTATTGTCTAAAATAGATTTTAGGGTTTTAACTCCTTTAGAGAAGGAGTGTTAAAATCTATTTCTGGTTAAGCCTGGTTATTCTTTTTGGTAAACTTCAACATTTTCAACCACAACCTTTATAGTTCAAGCATAGAAAAAGCCTACTTTTGGAATTGTAAAAGAGTTGGTTGGTCTGACAAAGAGGACAAAGAAGCAAGAAGCCGTTTTTGTTGGAAGTTTCTGTGATTGTCAATTTCAAGCGTTTAGTTAGAAATTGGCCAATTTGGTTGGGTTCAAATTCTTGCTGGTTAAGCGGTTGGTTTAAGATGAACATTTTTTTTTTTTTCATTTGTCAATAGGGAGATTTTCAGAAAGAGGGGTTGTTGTTAGTTGAATTTAACAAAATAGTTAGAAATTTTTCAAGTTAAAAAACGGGATTTGGTAAGATTGCCTTTGGTTTTAAAGGGAGGACTTAACGAGGAGGATGTCAAACCTTTTTTAGTAAATTTTGCTCCGTGGTCCTACCTTCACTACTAGAACCAAGAGTTCGTTTTGCCTGATTTCGTAAATAACCCGATAAACATCAAAACAACGATACCGCCAAAAACCTTGTCATTTACCACTTAAAGGTTTGCCGTTTTGCGTGGGATGGCTGGCTAAATGATTTTCTACCCGAATTCTAATGTTTTCGGCCATTGTGCGGTCGTCAATCTCCTTTAAGCCTTCCTCGGCCTTCTGTATCCAAATTACTTTATATCTCACCTAATTTCTTTTTTGTTTTTCTTTCTCGTCGTAATATTGTCGGAGATGTTCTTCTACTTCCTCGCTAGTATAATATTTAACTTTGCCCTTTTTCTTTTTTTTCAATATACTTTTCCACATCTCTAATATCCTCCATGTCCTCAATGTATCTAATTAAGGCTTCTTTTATATGATATTCGCGGGGTTGGTTTGTAGTTTCCTCCAACTGTTTGAGGTCTTTTTTTAGTTGCTTTTCGCCTTCTGGGGATAAATTTTTTAAAGTTAGTGTTAGCATGGTTAGTTTAATTTTATGGATTTTTGATTAAAATGTAGAAATGATTTTAATCAAATAGGGAGTTTAATCAATTCCCATCTCCGTTTATCAGCAACATTATAGCGCCCACCAAATCTAGAACAAATAAGAAAATACTTACATAGCAAAGGCCCCAATTTTCTACACCAAGACATGAACAACAGAAAGAAATTATTGACAACATAATACATGCCCCACTCATCATTTTTACTACAAGTCCACCCACTTTGATTGCTTCATAGATACTGTAAGCCAATGATTGATAGATGAAGGGGAGCACATATTATAGTCATCGCTTGTTCAATTTTCACTCCTCCCCCACCTCTAAGATTTCTAAATTTTGTTGGCATTAATTGTCCTTGCTCTAAATCAATTTGTTCGCCTAATAACATTTCTTTTAAATATTATTTTTTATTCGCTAGTTACTTTTTCCGGTTTTTGCTTTTTAACTCCCTTTCTCTCCTCGTAGGCT